TTTAGTTTTAATTGTTTGTCACGAAATGTTTAAAAATTAAAATCCCACTTTAAGTTTTTTTAAAGATTATATTTACTAAGAATTAGGAAATTCTGATTTGATGGCACCTTATTAAAGATAAATATTGCCTATAACAATTAAAAAATATAGTTCATCATTAACAAAGATCTTAATATTTATTATTTAATCAAAAACATAACCATATTAACTTTAAAATATCCAGTATCTATATACTAACAATGCGTCTAAAAACGAAAAACTATAGTACATCATTCACAAAGACATCATCATTGATTATTTAATCAAAAGTATAACCAAACTAACTTTTAAATTTGCAGTATTAAAATGCCAACAATGCCTCTAACGATTAAAAAGTGTAGTACATCATTAACAAATATATTGAATTTGATTATTGAATCAAAAGTATAACCATATTAAAGTTTCAAATTTCAATTATTAAAATGATAACGATGCCTCTAACAATCAAAAAGTTCAATACATTTTTGACAAAGATATTTACATTGATTATTTAATCTTAAGCATACTTTTAAATTTCCATTATTAAAATTATAACAAATATTACATTATTTGTTTTCTACAAGCAATATGAATTCTTTTAATATTGTTATCAACTGAATACGTTTTATTTCATTTTTTTAGTATGTAATTTTTTAAAGGGTATTCCTCTAATAAAAATGATATATTGTACTATCTGACATATTATACGGCGAAAAATGAAAAGCCAAAAAAAGGAAAATGTGTTATCTTTTTTTTCATTAACACTGTGCTCCAATTAGAGTATGGTGTTTTAGGAAAGAAAGATAAAGCACACGTTTTTGCCTTTTACATATTTTGCGTTTTATTTCTTCACATTAAATTTATCTTAGTCTTTAGTTTTTAGTTAAATTGAAATTCCATTTGATATTTCTAATTAAAGGTATCCGACTAGTACAAAAACATAATTTTGAGTAAAATTTTCAAAATCGAGTTTGTTATTAATTTAGAGTCCCTGTATTCTTAGGCCTAAAAAATATTTTATTTTCGTTTGTATTCCTCTTATTTACAAAGTTATGGCAATTTCTTGTGCAAGGTGATAACAGTGGATAGACTAATGTTTTTAAGTCTTTAAATGCGTTTATCTCAAAATCAGGTTTATTCACATTTTACAACACCTTAAACAGGGTTTGCTATTTATAAAATAATTGTCTGCAAATTTTCATAAGATTGTATGATTATAGCACACATATTTTGAACAACAGACTAAGAGAAAAAAGTAGAATTTCATTTTTTGTGCATGTTTTTTATGAAAGAAAAGAGTGAACATTTAAAAAAAATGATTTTTTAACTACAGTGATCCCTTACTCAATAGTATATGTACTTGCTTTTAAGATAATAGTTGAAAACCTAATTGATAGCTTTCTAAATAAGCTCCTCAAAAGATTTTTTGTTCTAAGTGATAGAAATTTTTTACAGTGTTTATCGTATACGCAAAAAAATGTTTTATTTTTTTCCTAAAAATGGACATTTTAAAATAATAATTATATTTTTTTGCTAGTTTTGTAAGTTTTACACGTAATAAAACAAATGAACTAGTTTATTGAACTTTATAATAATGTATAAAAAAAGTTGTCGAAACTAGTCAGGTACCTTGAATGTTATCTCTCTAGTAGATGTTGTTTAAATTTGCAATGATAAACAAAACTATTTAAGGTAGAAGAGCAATTTTTAAAATTTACAAATATCTCAGGGTTGTTAAACCATCACATTTGTTGTAACAACTTATCCTTTTGAGTTTTTTTTAAGAAATGACTCTAAGCAAAATTATTTACTTTAATAAAGTTAATTTTTTACGACAGTTCTCTTCCTTTAACCCATTTTCGATCAATGGTTCGGAAACGCAACATTTCTAGAAATATTATTTTATTAACACTGTGATGTATATTTTTTACTAATTTTATTTTTCTACTATTGCCAAGGGTTTTTAAGACACCCAAACATTAATAGTAATTCAATTGGAGTAAACACTTACTGTTGAGAAATTTTTAAACTATGAAAGTTTGACTTAAAACGGCTATTGACAAATGTATAAATATTCCTTTTGAGATTTATCATCATGCTTTTTTATGATAGATTAAAGTTTCAAGTGTGTAAATGAAAAAATAAGACAAATTTCATAAAGAAAACAAGCGTTCAACTAAATGGTGTGTTCGTTGATTTGGTGAATAGTGCCTATACGCCCGATTTTATTTCTTGATTAAAATGTAATTTTTTATGAACGAAATTTTTTGCGTGCCTTAATGAATGTAATGTAAGCATATTTCAATGAAATAATACCACAATTTATAAATTTATATGCTTGGCCTAAAATGGGTTTATACCATAATCAGAAAAAATGTTCTTCTTAATGATAAGCAGTGCGCATGAAAAATATTTTCTTCAGATCTGTCTAAATACACCAAAGCACCGATTACTCAGATAGATGCAAAAATAAATAAATAATGAAATACATAGTTGAAGCATGAAAGTGATTATTAAAAATTGTTTTTGTGATTGTTTAAACGGTGTTTTAAATATCAAAGTTGAATTAAAGTTTAATTAACTATTGTTTATATTACATGGCAATAATAAATTCACAAAAACAAATAGTTAATAGAATTTAAGAGTTTTGGAAGCTTGCTTTGATAAAAAGAGAAGATTAGGTTAGAAAAAAAATTGAAAATTCACAAACAATTCGTTTCGAACAGTGACTGAAATTTATATTTTTCAACATTGTGTTGCAAAATGACACATTGCACTGATTTAAACAATTGAAGTTTGTCTTGACTTATTTTTAAAACCAGAAAAATAAATAAAGTTGATTGTAAATGGAGAAATATCGAATATTAGGGTGGACGTGGGTGGTTTTAAAATTCTTTAAAACCACACGAGTGTTCATTAGCTGGTTCTAAACTTTTACTCTAATTTTTAAAAGCGTTGTCAAGTTTTCAATTAAACTTTTGTACTTCTACTTGCTTGGAATGCGAAGATAAAAATATTTTTCACCATTTAGAATATCAATTAGAGCAAATATTGCTTGGCGGTTTTCAAAAGTTTTACCTTTGAAACTTTCGTATTTATTACATTTTAGAAAAGGAAAAGAATGCCACTAATGTTTGTGGAAATCGTTGCTTTAGACAGAAAAGAATGTAAGGATCATTTAAAAACTAAAAAGAAAAATAACTACTTTAAAAGTGACACGACATAAATCAGGTAGATCTTTCTGCGTTTATTTGTCGTTTAACGCTTCCTTAGTTTTGTATAAAAAAAAACATTTGTTAATGAGTGTCGCTGCTATTTTACTTGAATTCTAATTAAAGAGTTTTTATTTGGAGCATTAAAATTCATCAAATTCTTTACCAAATAGCATTTGCACGACAAACTGCGGATAAGATCAGGGATAAAGGAGGAGGAAACCTTTAAAAAATTTCTTTGAAAAAAATTATAAATAAAATATGTCAAACCTTTAAACAGCAATTTAAAAAAAGCTCTTGTTTAAATACATTTTCATACATTGTTAAAAATTTCGTATATTATTAAAAATAAACATCGTTTTGCCCTTACATGAATTCTGTAGTAGATGATTGTATGCTTTATTGGTAGATTATTATTGTTTTTTTTCTTCATATTATTTAAAATTGTTTGTCGGTAGAAACTATTTTGCGTATGCTTTAAATATGGGGATTCAAACTTTAGATGGTTCTCGAAGTTTTGGGGCTTAGCTATTTGATGAAAATATGAACAGCAAATGAAAAAGTAACTTTTCATTTTAACTTGTTTGCGGTTAAGAACTTGGCATTAAAAATAATTAGACTTATACCAATTGATTGGAAAATGTGTTATGAAATAAATTGGTAAATGCTGAATGAGTAATTAGTTTTTGCTAGGTATCGAAACCGGTAAACATGTTTTACATGCTAGTCTTTAACATTTATAAAAATCTGTAGGGAAGGGATTTAATGCTAATAAAAACCATGCAAGCCATAAAAAGTGAGTACTTCCTATTTTCGTGTTATTTAATTTTGCAACAAATGATATGCGTGAGGTCTTAGAATTGAAGGTTGTGAGTTCGATTCATAAACCGAAATACATACTAGTCTTTGCCATAGCTATAACATTTACCGTAAATGTTTAGATAAACATGTATCTTATTTATGAAAAAAATAAGAAAAAACAATTTTTGAAAAGCACATTTATGAAAAAGATATAAAAATATGAAAAGAAAAGCTCTGTCGTTGACTATTTTTTTCTTTGATTTAGACCTCGTTAGATATTGCCCACTGCTTAACGCATTTTGAATTGTGTGATATTCACTGTAACTGGAATATCCAATAAATATAGACTAGTGTTGAAAAAGAACTCTAAACTATCTAGAATATGTAAATATTGTTTAAATGGTTAAATCAAAAACTAAAAACAAAATTTAAAAAAAGCAAATTATAGAACGCAAGCAATACGATGAGAAAGGAAACAAAAGCGATGAAAATTATAGTGATAATTTTAAATAAACTGCTGTTTGTAGAAAATGCAACACCATGAAGGAATCATCAGAATCAAATGAAATATTAAGCAAATGTCAATTNTGAAAAAGAACTCTAAACTATCTAGAATATGTAAATATTGTTTAAATGGTTAAATCAAAAACTAAAAACAAAATTTTAAAAAAATAAGATATAGAACGCAAGCAGTACGATGAGAAAGGTAACAAAAGCGATGAAAATTATAGTGATAATTTTAAATATAAATAATAATGATTGTTATTATGCTAAAAAAAAAAAAAGTAAAAACATTGTGTAATATCGTAAATTACATTTTAAATAACACGATGTTAGGAAATTTCACTTATCTTTTAAATAGAGTTTCTTATGACAGCTATATTAAGTTAATCTTTAAAATAGAGTATTTTAATATATTAATTTTTTTATTAAACGATAACAGAAGTAACTAAGTTTTTAAGTTCTTACCTTCATAATTCCTTTCTTCTGGAGTTTGATCTTTTAATGTATATTCTTCATGTTCTAAAAAATAAAGAAAACAATATATTAAATTTTTATTACTTTTTAAATATTAAAAAAGTAATAAAAATTTTGTACAAGCCTTTAAAATTTTTAAATAATTTAATACATTCTTACTTTTCTCTTCTAATCTACAAAAAGTGTTTATTTTTTTATATTTCAAGTCAAATATTCGCTTTCTTAAAATTTAAATTACTTAATTTTTCCTTCCAAAAAATACCTTGAATAAAGCAAAATATTCTGAAATTAACAGCAATTGACTTAAAATATTTCTAAAATTATTTTTCAACAAAATATTTCTTGTTCCTATGATTTTACTTTCGCTACAAAAAACCTAATTAGTAGTATGAGAAGAGATAATTTAATTTTAAATTGTGATTTTGGAAATATATTATTTTTACAAAAAAGTGACTAATGCAATCCATTAGACATTGTTTTGATATTCTGGAACACAGGAGAATATTATATAAAAGAAGAAATAGATCTATTTAACTAAAATAGAGAAAAAGCGATATTTTTTCAGAACGTTTTGATCATGATTTCAAAGAATGTTATTTTGCATAACGTTTTTGCTTAAAAAAACTGTTAGTGACATGAATGTCGTAAACAGTCACTGATAAAATCTTTGAAAAATAAAAAGTAAAAATAATATCATCAGGTTATGCTTATGTTAGCCTTTCAAAAAGTAATACTGCAGAATTGACCATATGCTTCTGTGAAGATCTAACATTTTGCGTTTTGGATGACTGATGCAACTGATTCCCTTATATCAAATCCAGAAAATTAATAAAAACATTTATGCTTTTTTTTTGCAGAATTTTTTAGAGTTTAATATTTCTATCTAATTTCATCGAAAAAATTTAAAGGAAATATTTCTGGAAAAAAATTGTCTAAAAAAAGTCATAATGTTGTAAAGAGTCACCGATAATATCGGTATAAATAATGTCGTAATGAGTCACTGATAATATCTTTAAAAGAGAGAAGCTAAAAATAATTTCATCAGGTTATGTTTTTTTATGCTAGGTGTTTATGGCGTAACACCTCGAAATTGACCATATGTTACTAAACTGATCTTACTTTTCAGTCTTTGACGACTGATGCAACTGATTCCCTTATATCAAATCCAGAAGACAAATAAAAACATTTATGCACCGTATTTGCTCCATTTCTTCGGATTCCTATTTATTTCTAACGTAATTGCCTCATAATTACTTAAAGGAAATATTTCTGAAAAATTCATGATACACTCCAAATACATTCCATGAATTGTTAGATACATTTATTTGATTATTTTATTGTTTCTAATGTAATGATTTTAATAAATAATAAATTAATTTTGGTTCTTAAAGCTTCCGAAATATTTGATTACGACATAATAATACATGAAATTGAAATCACTAGCCATGAAAATTATAAAAAAAAAAAATCCAAAAAAAAATCAATCAATCTTTGTCAAAAATATCAATTCAAAACCTAATAATAATATGAATAAAGTGATAAAAATAATGCTCATTTTGATGCATATAAAACTTTCACAGTTACATTTTTTTTAAATTTAATTTCCTAGCAATTTTGCATTTTTTTTAAAATTACAGAGTGAACGACTGAATCGATAGAAAAAAACATGTAAACTATAAAATATAATTCATATTATTTCGCAAAAATTATTTGCAGCAAAAAAGTTCCTGACCCGTCTTATGATGTAAAATATATGTTTTTTTTTCTAGCGATAACGTATTTAAACTGACTCTTTAACTAAAAAAAAAAGCTGAACTAACTGTAAATACAAGGAATGACTAAATTTTTAAGGAGGACTAAAATTTTAAAAAATAAAACTGAAATAAAAACTAATTTAGATGTACAGGAACTAAAATTCTGTAGTATATTAAAGTATTCAAGTAAATTTCCAATAAACAATCAAACTTCCAAATAAACATTAAAATGTTACCAGCCGTAACAAATTTACAAAATTGTTAAATAAACACATTTGCCCGTTTTATTGACAAAAAAGAAAAAAAAACTCAAAATTATATGAAATCAGCCGAAACTCAACTGGAAATATTTTAAACCAAGTTAATTCCATAGATATCCTCATGTTTGCCAAAATATTATTATAAGATGCAATATTATCTTGTCTCAATGATGTGATGCTTGTTTTTAAATGATGTACTATGTGATTTTAGAATTTGGTAGCGAGTTTTGCGATATAAGAAAATTTACAATTGGGAAAAAGTACCTTAAGGTCTGTCATCTAGTTTAAATTTCAGTTAAGAGATCCATGTGTCTTTGTTATCCACAGAAGAAGCTAAGTATTCGATTTTAGAATCATATAATGTGTAAAATTTTCAGAAAAGTATATGACTATCAGAAAAGTTAACTGTATATGACTATAAGTGTAGATTGTACATTAAAGCGTATTATGTGCAGTTTATATAGTGGTATTTTATGGGTTAAATCACCTTCTGTTCTGATCTACATCTTTGAACAACTTCCGTTGTAACAATAAAAATAAATGAGATTACACAAGACCTAACTTTAAATGTTCAATCACTGGTAATTGAACTAGTTCAGTTCAAATTTTTTTCAAAAGCAAATCACTCTGTTTTTAATTTAATGCGTTTAAATAGATTTATTTATATTTCCAAACATAACTTTTTGCTAATACTACTGCATTAGCCTTTCTGAAGAATTTTAAACTTTACTACATATTCGCTCATTTTCCTTAAATGATCACAAAATATTTAGATATTTAGCTTCGGGCTTTGTTAAATGAGAAAATATTGAACTGATTTTGTTTGAGAAACCTTATCTTTTTTTTATAAAATGAAGAAAAATATCTCACTGATATTTGTTAAAGTACCATTTATTTATTTTACCAATTTTTTTTTGTTTGATTCGGTGTGTTAGCCTGAAGCTAAAACACGAAGTATTTGTTTATCACGGTAAACAGCGTATTTGCAAATGGTTCCATAAAGAGATTTTCATTTTGTTTGTAAAGAAAATATGAAAATTAAAGCTTTGAAACAGCTATTTATATACGAAAACATAGATTTTTTTTGTATTGTTCAGATAATTTTACTGATTTCAACAGATGAAAACCGCGTTAACAATCATTGTATGCTAGAAAAGTTGAAAAGTATTATTTTTATTTCGTAAATAGCTTCTCCTTTCTTCGAGTGCTTTATGTATTTTTAAGGAAAATCATTTATGTTTATAATAATAAAGATAATAAAATATTTCTTTTTATGCTATCATTAAATGTTAAGTAATAAGAGTCCTGCTATGCTTGTTTAAAACTGATCCGCGTCCTGCAGTTTCCAAAGACGAACTTTGGTTGCGCATACAAGCGATATGGAATTCTCTTCCTCAAGCAGATATTCAACATCTGTTTGACTCCATGCCACGTCGTATAGCAGCACTTATTGCAGCGCGTGGTGGCTGCACCAAATACTGATTTCGGACGCTTAATTTGTTTCTTTTGTTTTGAAAATTTCATCATTTATTTGTATCAGTACAAGTCGTTTCTGCATTAAATTTCATTTGATTCTGATGATTCTTTCATGGTGTTGCATTTTCTACAAACAGCAGTTTATATATATATATATA